CGGTCGGCCGGGGGTGCTGTAGGATACGCACTCCTGAGCTGCGCAACTTCAGCCTGAAGGTTGTAGAGCAATCCTCGGGTTTCGTTGAGCTCGGCGGCTTGAGCGGCTTGGGCTGTATCCCGAGCGCGTCGTCGTCGGTGAGATCTCGACCCGCTATACCCGGATGAAGCCTCGTGGCTAGCTTCCTGCATTTGTACGTCCTCTTGCCCGCGATTCGGGTCTTGGGGTCCCAGACGCTGGCGCATCTCTGGTCGGGGACGATCGAAAGCTACCGCTCGGGCAACCTCTTCAGGGTCCTCCGCTTGAACGGCCTGAGCTGGTGCCTCCATCGCATCAGCACCCCCCGACCCCAACCGCGAATGAGCCGAGCGTCGAGCCCGGGAAGTGGACTGACGCTGCGGCTCTACTTGTGCGGTCGGCTGTACTAGAGGGGCGGCGGCTGGAGCTGTATAAGCTGGCGTATATGGTGGATAACCAACCGGGGAAGTGTAGCACATTGGTTGGCCTGGCCAGTACCCATACGGTGGAGGTGGGACCGGGTACGGATACTGGGCGGGATACATCATCGGCGGCTGCTGGTATGGCAGACCGGGTGTCGGGTATCCCGGCTGTATGTAATTTACCGGCTGCTGGGCGGCCGGGTATGCATTTGACGGATGCGGTGGTGAAAGGTTGAGGTTGAGGTCCATCGTCTGACCCTGCTGTTGGGTAGCATAGTGGTCGGAGGAGCTCGCCGCATCCGCCTGGTCGTCGGCGAAGTTGTTGTGTGCCCACGGATACATGTTGGTATGGTGATCGGGTGCTCGTCAAGACGTTGGTTTCTCGTACGGGTCCCCACAGACGGCGCCAAAATGATACTGCTAATTATACGTAAGCAATATAAAATAACACGAGACCAATTAAAGCAAGTAAAATCTTTATTGATCACGGTAAAGGCCCTAAGTACAATCTACTTGGCTGCTCTGAGTACCGACTGAGTGCGGTCGGGATTCTCTAGCAACAACCTATCGATCGTCCAAAAGTCCCTTACACTGTAGCTACTGTGGGTATTTATAGCCGCTATGCCGGGGACAGGATTCCAGCCGTTCGGCATGTCCTCCACGTAGCCACCACGTGTCATCCTCCCGGGTGCCCTGCCTGTCGATGTAAAGAGCCGCCACGTGTCCTTCGTCAGCTCTTTCGCCAAAGGGCTACCGCTCGGTGGTCGACACCGTCGCTTGGGCAACTCCGGTCGGTCTACGACCGGGTTCTTCTCGTGGAGCCCGACTTGTTACCTGCAAAGACAAGGAGAAAGAGACAAAAGGCTCCTCGGTCGTGGTGAAGCTATGTCGGTCGGGATATTCCCTACCAATTATTATTATTATTATTATTATTATTATTATTATGTATACCCTTAGATCATTTTATATGTTAATCTAAACAGTTAATTTTTTCAAATATCTTTTTACCAACCGTTGATATAATTCGCTGGTCAAATCCGCTAACGCTAACCGCTAACTGCTGATTGTCAAACAAGGACATTGCGAGGTAATTCTCACTTCAATTTGTTGTGTGATTTGAATACTCTCTTTGTCAACAAATCCCTCAAGTAGTTAATATGATTGGCTTTATTAATTATAATTTTTTAATTTTTTCATGGTATTAATAAAATACTTGGTAAATAAATATATAACATTATTTTGTATTTTAACTTTGATATTTAATTAAAAAATAGTGCACAAAAAAGATAATAGACAATGTAGTGAATATAATCAATTGATGAATTTGAATGTAAAGAATTTTTACATTGGAGAAATATAAAGACAATATAACTAATAAAATTATTTCTCTTAATTAATTTATTGATAATGAATAATTTTTTTTTTTAATAAAGACATTGTAGGGACAATGTAGCGAATATAATCAATTGATGAATTTGAATGTAAAGAATTTTGATATTTGAGAAAAATAAAGACAATATAACTAATGAAATTATTTTTCTTATTTAATTTATTGATAATGAATAATTTTATTTTGAATAAAAACATTGTAGACACATAATTCTAAATTAAAGAAATGCATATGTATTATTTTTTGTTATAGCTACTAAATTATTATTTCTACAAATCTACAAATCTAATAAGAGCGAATAATGTTAGGCCCTTAACTGGAACAAAAAAAATGTCGGTACTAATTGTTTCTTAAAATGAATGGTTCATATTATTTTGATTTTAGTATCTTTTAATGATTTTCCTTATTTACCCTCTATTATATTATTTTCTTCCCTTAAATAACCCTAAATTCCGTTAGTTTAAACTTTAGTAACGGAATATTCCGTTAACTATTTATTATTTTTAACATACTCTTAATTTATATAAGGTCTTAGGTTCAAACCTCATCCCAATTATAATTGACATAATTGTTAAACATATATTATTTTTTTTTGTTCAGGAGAGAGGGGGATACCCAACGTTAAACATATATTATGAATATGTTAAAATGTATTAAAAATATATATAATATAAAATTTAACATAAACTTTGGTCAAATAATTAGCTCGACTAAATACATAGCATTCAAAGTTGAGCATCAAATATTATAAATCAGGAACTACTTTAAAATTATTTGATTTTCTTGAATTTGTTTATTTAAAAAAAAAAACAAATTTATGTTAATTTTTTTTTTTTAAATTAATCTTCTTCTGATTATTTAGAACAAAAATTAATATTTCTTTTTTTTTTTGAATGTACAAAACTTAATATTTCAATTATGCTTTTGCATTATTGGAATGATTTAGGCCATTATGGTATTAATATTTTTTTTTGTATTTTTTTTATAATGGTACAATTGTACATTACATTACTAATATTATACTATTATTTTTTTATTGGACAATGTTCTTACATCATTGTCAAACCTGCGCGGCCTAACTACAAAGTTGTTGATCATAAATACAATTACACATAGACTCTAAAACGGTAGGATCATTTTTCAAATAATTGACAATGTTAACATCCTACTAGCTCCAATTGAACAAGTTTACACATCAAAATTTTATCAATGCATGAAAACTTCTAAAAAAATTTTGTAAGTTAATTTTTACTATATTATTATATTAATATCTATTGTAACAATATATTTTGAATTATTTATTATCATCCTCTATTGACAGCAATTGTAGCAATTGTTATGGACAAACTCACAAAACAATTTGTCTCAACAAGAAATGGAAATTTTAAAAAAAAAATCATTAATTTCATTATTGTTGAAGAAAAAGTATGTACAACACTTTATTACTCTTATTAATTAAATAAATTAGTAGCTACAACAAAAAATAATACATATGCCCCATTTAATTAATTTAGAATTAGATGTTTATAATGCTTTATTTAAAAAAAAAAATATTCATTATAAAAAAATTTAAAAGAAATATAATTTCATTAGTTATATTATCTTTATTTTCTACAATTCAAAGATTCCTTACCTTCAAATTTATTAATTTATTATACTCACTACATTGTTCATTGTCTTCTTTTTTACATTATCTTATAATTAAATATCAAAGTTATAATACAAAACATGTAGGAAAAAAATTACCACTACTAAATATCAATAGGTGTTTGTACGCTAAATAGTTCATATTAAAACTAAAATCTCAGTCATATACACAGCAAGGTAAATCTAAAACTTCCAACATCATAATCTCATTGCATGATGAATCCCTCTATGCTGCTACCAGTAACCTAATTGCACATGAAACACTACCAAAAAAAAAAAAAAAAAAAAAAAAGGACATGTACTGAAGATGAAAACAATAACAATGCTACCCAAAAAAGAATAAAGAAGAATTAGAGAAATTTAAACAAAAAGTAGTATTTATTTAGACTATCGCTTTAAAACTAAGTATTTAGACTAGCGTTATTACAAAGTTGCAAACATTTATTTTAGTGACAATTATAATCAATCTCGCATATATTATCTTGCATTTATATACTTTAAATTACCGATTTAAATAAACAAATTCAACATTTATTTACATATGCATGAACATCTCCTATATGATATTGCATTGATATACTTTGGAATACTTATTTAAAAATAATTATTGGGCATTATCTCATTCGCACAAAGTGCGTAAAAAAACTAGTTTAATTTAATAAGAGTAAAATAGAGTACTAATTATGCCAACTTTGATTGGGGTGGGGTTCGAACCTAAGACCTTTCTTATTGAAATCAATGAGTAAGTTAACAGTGAACTAACAGAAGTTAACGGAAAATATAATATTTAACGGAAAAGTTAACGGATAATCATATTCATTAAGGATAAATTAGAAAATCTTAAGGAAAAAATTAAAATCTGATTAATCTGAGCCATTCATTTGATTAAAAAATTTGACCGCCATTTTTTCTACCCATTATAGGCCTAACTCTCTTGGACTCTTATTAGTATATATATATATATAGTAGATATGAATATTTATGAAAGTTATGAAAAGTACCGTATAATTTGACAGGAATAGATGAAAAGGTTGTCTGGTCCAGATAGAGAAATTTTGTTTTTAGAGAAAGTTGAAAAGTTTGAAGTTGGATGTTTAGATTTTAACTATTTATATTTGTGAGGAAAAAATCTACAGAAATTTAAAATAAAGTCTATAAAAATTAATAAATTTTTGAATACCAGTAAACTTTTAAAGACTTTATGAAAGTCTGGATCGAATACGAGTATATTTTTAAAAAACTCTAAGTTTGAATCAAATACGAACAGACTTTTAGATAGTGTTTAAAAATTTGAATTGAATACCACCAAACCTTTAAAAGTTTTAAAAAATTTATAAAATTCTTCATTGAATATAATACACCCCTTAGTGTTGTATACTTGTAGTATATATAAAAAAAAAACTAAGTTGGTAATAAATTCCAAAGGAGTATTTAAGTGATCCATGAGATTTGAAACGAAGTTGGAATCACTGCAGTGAAGGATGAGAAACAGTGCACTGAAAGATGACAAAACAGTTTGGTCATTGCAACAATACTCAAACTTTGTTATTTCTCATTAACACTTGGGAGAGTTACATTTCAGGAAACCAAATATCATATGCTTCCTATCCCTTAGTAACACACACTACTAAACTTAACACACTACTAATAAGCACTACACCTTTGCTGCAGTAGCACCATCTTCTGCATCATAGCAATCAGCCACAGCCACAGTTATCTTTCTCTGCACACTTTTGTACGAATAGCGTTTTGCAACGAAGGCATACACCCCTATGTTCACAGCGGTTATGGTTGCCAAGAGCGCGTAAAAGTAGTCCAACCGGCTGCCATTCAAGTCTTTTGCGAACCAGCTCTTCCCGGTTTTCGCTGTTATGTGATCCACTATGGTTATCAAGAAGCTGCTAAGGAAATTCGCGGCCCCCAAAACGCTTAGGTAGAAGGCGATTCCCAAGCTTCGCATGGAGTCGGGGACTTGATCGTAGAAGTACTCTTGTAGCCCCACTAGTGTGAAGCCATCCCCTATGCCAATGATGAGGAATTGTGGTGCTAGCCAAAACACACTCATTGAGGTTGAGGTCTTTAGGGGGCTTTCTTGGACAACACTTAGTCTCTTCCTTTCTACCAAGGCTGCAACTACCATTGTTGTGACTGAAAACACCATCCCGATCCCGATCCTCTGGAGGATGTTGATGCCCCTCTCGTTGCCCGTCGCCCTCCTCAGGATTGGTACGAGGATTCGGTCGTAGATTGTGACGGAGACGATCATTCCAACGGCTGCCAGCACGAAGATTGAGGCCGGGGGGATCTCGAAGCCATTGGCAATCTTTCGGTTTAGTGTCATGCCTTGCTTGATGAAGAAGGTGGCGGTTTGTGACACACAAATCCCAAATGGCAGAGTGGTTAACCAAATGGGAATCATGTTGATCACCAGCTTCATCTCCTCCACTTTTGTCACGGTTGCAAGCCTCCATGGATTCTCTGCCTCCTCAGCTGACCTTCCTTTCTCTTCTCTGATTGCAGCTTTGTCAAGAAACCTTAAAAATCAACCAAAACAAAGTTAGATTTCTGTTCTAATTGTGGCAACTCCTAGGTCTAACCATGTTAGGCAAAGGCTGGTAAAGGGCCAAGTCCATCAATTGGTGACTAGAAGGATTATTGGGCGAAGGCCGGTGAAGAATTAAGTCTAAGTCTAGCACTCTGCCTCTCGATGGTGGTCTATAAGAAAATAAAGTTATACCTTGGCTACTAGCTAGAAAATAAAGTTATACCTTGGCTACTAGCTATAGCCTTTGGCATAATTGTAAGCACTTATCCTAACAAGTGGTATTAGAAGCAGGGCCAAGTCAAACACCTAACAAGTGGTATTAGAAGCAGGGCTAAGTCAAACACCTACCTCTAAAAAATATGATGACGGTCAATAAAGAAATAAAGCACCTGCCTCTCAAAAATGTGATGGTGGTCTTGATCTATATAAAGTTACGACTTCACTACTAGTTATAGCTTTTGGCATAGTGGTAAACGTTTGATCATAACAAATAGAACCGTCAAAACAGGTTTAGCCCGCCCCCAAAAGGTGGGACGGACTTTAAATTTTATGACCCGAATTTTGACCGTCTTTTTAGCTTGCCCCTGCCAAAATGGCAGGCTTGACGGGACGGGATTGACGGGCCAGCTTATTTTAAGCCTGTATTTTGACGAGTTTTTTAGATTGTCCTGTCATATGGCAGGCTTTGGCGGGCCCCACCCCACGGTCCATTTCAACAGCTCTACTAACAAACCATTAAGCTGAGACAGAGTATTGTTGATTACTTGAGCTTTCCAGTGTGGCACAGAAGTCTCCCACGGGCATATTCTGACTTAGGAACTTCATATAACTCTGCAGAAGTAGAAGGGCATGGGAGATTTCTCTTTCTAATGGCTGCAACAAGGACCTGCAACATTGGTGTCAAGGGACTCCCAGCAGCCTTCCTATACCTATAAAATGGCCTTCCAATGCAAAAAACCACAATGCTAAAAGCCATAACTGCAGTGAGAATCATATCTGCTAAAGCCCAGCTAACATGGTCTTGAATGTAAACTATAAATGTCACCCCAACTAAGATCCCAGAGCAAAGCCCAAAGTTCCACCAATTGAAAAATGACATCTTCTGCTTTCTTTCCTCTGGGTGATCATCATCAAACTGATCAGCTCCAAAGCTCTCCAGGGAGGGCTTGTGGCCTCCCGTCCCGATCGATATCATGTAAATCGCGAGGAAAAATATAGCTTCGTGCGCCTTCCGAGGTTCATCGCACACTTCATTCCCGCAGGGTCTCAAGCTAGGGACTACCCTCGACATTGTCAACAGAATCAAGCCCTGCATAATGTGATGACAGTCTATAAGGAAAGAAAATTGCATCTTTACTAAGTTTATGGTGTACTGATAAACTCTTGATCCTAATAGGCTGAAAATAACTGTGAATACGCATTTACCAAGAAGTAGAGAACGGATGAAGTAAGAACGGTGGAGAATCGACCCAAGTAAGCATCGGCTAAGAAACCACCAAAGAGAGGCATAAGAGTGGTAACACCAGCCCAGTAGTTGACATTCTTGGCTGCTGTTTTGAGGTCTTCCTGCAGAATCTTGGTCAGGTATATAATCAAACTTGTGGCGATTCCGAAATAACTCAACCTCTCAGCAAATTCAATCACTGCAGAATTGAAGAAGATTAAGATTAGCCATCTCATAACCTTTCCCTTTCATTAAATTGTCACAAATTAAAAATAATTGTCCCTTAAAGAAATGTATGTATAGCAGTCAAGTTAGAAGGAATCATAAAAAGAAACTTAAGCTACCCACTACCACTGCTTTATTGAGCATGCTCAGTACCACTATTTCTTAAATTAAAGGGACACATACTTAGGAATTATGTACCTTAGCTTTGGATCATTGGACGGAGGCCGGTAAGGGCCAAATTCAACACATGTGGCCTAACACATGTGGCTAGGAGAATGTTTGGAGAGGCCAGTAAAAGGCCAAGTGCACCACCCTGGCTTTCGAAAGTGTGATGGCGGTCTATAAGAAAATAAAATTGCGGCTTCACTACTAGCTATAGCCACTACTGGAAATTATGGAATTTCCAACCACATGAAAGTGATCTTAAATCAAGTCGAAAGCCTTGTTCCGACCACTTTTAATTTGGTATCCGGAAAAACCTTTGTTGCTATTTCCGACCACTTTTTGGTTTCAACTTGATTTAAGATCACTTTTAGGTGGTCGGAAATTTCATAATTTTTCAGTAGTGAGCTTTTGGCCTGATAAACTCTTGATCCTAACAAGTGGTATCAGAGTCAGGTCAAGTCCTAGCAAGAGCAGGGCTGGTGCTGGGAGGGAATTGATGATCAACAATAGTACTGCTTGATGCATGGCAAAAGCTACTCTCTACCTAATCCGCTAGCCTGTACAGGTGTAGCGGAAACACTTTTATAGGTATAGTGGATGTGCTTTTTTTTACCAGTGTCTTGTGTTCTCACGGAAATTACTATGGTTTTGCTCGACAGATGAAAGAAAGTAAATAGGAAAAACTACCATTTAACCAACTACTATTTAATATTCATACAATTAATTCCTCTTATATGATGCAGAACCATGCATGTATGTAACCAGAGCAAAAGCTATGTGTTTTCTTCCTTAGAGTGAACAGCAGATCATCAGAGCTCATGCAAAATAAAACTGTAGATTTAAGCATGTTTTCATGCCTTATTTCGTGCTAAACAACAAAGAGAAAGTAACATCATATCATATATATGCCAACAAATATGGAAACTTACTGATGATGAAAAGGGAGGACTTCCAGACACCAGTGGAGGCGCGGAGAGGAACCCGGCCTTTATGATCAAGAGAAGAATCATACACCCATTTCTGCTCATCCATTTCTGCAAATTCCTCTTTATTGATTTGCTCAATCTCCACTCTCCTATCCATCTTGATGAGCTCCAATTAATCCCAAAGATGTTATTTGAAGTAATATGTAAATATAGTGTGTTGGTTTAACTTGATTGACAGATGTTGTTTGTCCTCCTTATATAGAGAAAGAAAGTCACTATCCCAGCTCCCAACACACTACTACTGGCTACTGCTGTTTGACATTTTCTTGGATTATGAGAACCCAAGAATGTGATGAAATGAATTAAAAAACAAAAAAAAAAAAAAAAAAAAGTTGACCGCTATTAGCTGTTTGGTAGCATAGTTAGCTTATCAGCCAAATTTGTCATATTTGACCACTATTAGTTGTTAGTGTTTGATTATTTAGCTGTCTGTAACAGCTTATTGCTCCAAAATGCTAAAATTCAAAAAGCTTCTTAACTATCAGGTTTTTGAGAATGTCATTTTGCATGTAATCAGCTATCAGCTAACAGTTAATTTATCAAACTAAACATCTTTCTACAATCATCAGCTAATATTATGAACTACTCAAACTCGCTATCCCAGTCAGCTAACAGCTAACAGTTATTTACCAAAACACTCTCGATATGAAAAATTGATTGTGATTGTCAATGATAGTGATGGTCTGATAGAGATTAGAGAATGCAAAAGCTTATTATGATTCCTCCCACTAAAATAGCCCTTGGTACACTTAGTATGAGGAGAATAGCATCCAATTACATTCCACTATTGGGAAATCAATGTTCAAAAAGTGGCCATGACAAGAGGCCTCAAACAACAGACACCATTCTTGTGTCCCTTTAGTAACATGGTCTCCACGTACGGTTTTGTTTTCTTCCCAAATATGCTTCCCTATGTACAGTAACAAAAAACAACACATTATTCCTAGTTTTTGCACATGAACAACAAACAGAAAAACTGTACTACATATTCCGGCAGGTGGTACTGTGTGGTTAAGATTGAAATCCTTACCAACCCACCGAAGTTTGTCTGACACATGTATATAACATGAGTTATCATCTCATTGAACTAAGAGATGATGACTAGAAGGATTGATTTGAGACGGTTAACTATGGGCAACTTAAACTAGTTTACCTTCGTGGGTTTTTTTACCAGTTAGAGTCACAAGACGGGTTTACACATAACACACCTATAGTAATGGTTGTGGATTTTCCTTGTTATCTCAAGAGATGATGACCAAAATGATTAACTCTTTGTTACATATGAATCGCCTATAATTCTTAGGAAAATACTATGTGTACTTCCACTTTATACTCTCAATTTTTACTCCACATAAAACTTTAATGTAGATATTTGTATTGGGATCCAAATGAAAAGAATAGCTTATCAGAGAGACCGCCACATCAGGGAGTAAGATTTGAGAGTAAGTAGAACACTAATTCTCATCTATCTGTCAGACTGTCACCCATGTCAGCAAACTCACTGACTCAGCCCCACGCCCAGGTGCCACCTCTTTGCTTTAGTGTCTGACGTACGTAGTTTTAGCCATAATGTCAAATGAAACACGAATTTGCATGTGAAACATTAAATGATAGAAGCTAAATATCTTCTTCTCCCAAAAAATTGAATCTCCAATCCCAAGGCCCTCACATCTCTCCTTGACAGAGTATTTACATACTTTGAGCATAATCTCTACACTATCGCATCAAAATTCAAACTTTGATCTCTTCTCTCAAATACTGCCTACTGAACTATTGAGCTAAGCCTGTACAAAGTTAAAAATCTTTCTGGGCTAAATGGTACCTTTCTAATATCATCTCTACATAGCATGACAGGAAAATGAAAAGTGTGGTTTCTGTCGGTCGATTATATTAACATTCTCAAAGGTAACCCATTTTTCTACATCTCAAATTAAAATTAGTCTTTAAATTGCCAGTTGGCTGCTTCAAATGGTAGACTACCTGATCTAAAGTTACTCTCCAACTGCAAGATGGGGGATGGATCTTTATGCGCAGAGTTAATATAGGATCTGATAGACAGAGTTAAAGATAGGGACTAATTGGGAGGCTGCTTGAGCGACTCATATTCTGGGAAAAGAAATTAGTCTTTAAATTTAAAACTGTGTGATTGTTAAGAGAGGATATATTCTGGGTAGTGGGTGTGATGGCAGATGAGAAGAAATGGTAGATCCTCGACTTAGAAGGTTGCTGTGAGCACTGCTTCACTGCGATTCTTGACTAGGGTCTAGGGATTCGCTCATCAATAATTTAGAATGAAATACAAGGGAGTAGTTAATGCCACTTTCGGTCTACAAATATACGGAGAAAGTTTTAGGGTGGTTTTGGTTTATGAGGTTACTTTTAAATATTACTATCATATTAGTTTTGGAGTAATATAATATTACCAACGTAATCTCATAATTTTAACCAAACAAAGTAATATAACATTATTATCTCCACTAAGATTCGAACTCACAACCTCCCATGTGGGAGTCTAATCCAGGTGCCATTAGACAACAAGGTGTAATATATATATATATATATATATATATATATATATATATATATATATATATATATATATATAAAATCAAATTCGGTGATGTACTTCCGTGCGACTCAATGGTTTAAAATCAATGAAGATTGAGAAAAATGCGATGGCATTTTGGTAATTTCCTACATGTATATTTCGCTGGTGCATTTGTAAGTGCTCTATGGTGCACTTTTGAGTGAACTATGGTGTACCACAAAGTGCTGGTCTGTGGTGCACTAATGAAAAAAAAAAAAAAAAAAAAAAAAAAAAAAACAAGGTTACATTTGAATAATTTCCAACACCATGTGATCATGTGTATTTCGGTGGGACACTAAGTGCTCGGGTGTGGTGCAATTGTGCTTTGTGGTACATTTACTTAGCACCACTCAGTTTGTAAATGCACAAAACCATGGTGCATTTCTTAACACATGGTGGTGCAAAGCCGCACGACCGCATATATACCAACTTATATATATATATATATATATATATATATATATATATATATATATATATATATATATAGGCGGGTTCAGGTGCGGCAGTGTCTTACGGTGCGGTTATTTCTTACGGTGCGGCAACACCAATAGTTCACCAAATATGCACCATCAACGTTAGGAAATACACCACACAAAACAGAGTAAACAGAGCTCTGCATCACCAAACACACACCATTAGGTGTGAGTAAAAACACCATACACTGTTCGGAAATACACCATTGGGGGTGGTGAGTTATATGGTGTGTTTTTTTGAGTCTGTGGTGTATTTTGTGATGTTTTATTACATTTCATTGGAGTGTGTTTTTATTACACTGTTGGTGCATATTGTTAACACTGTTGGTGTATTCTGGAATTTGACCGCACCGCCGCACCGTAAGACCCCGCCGCATATGAGCGCTCTTATATATATATATATATATATATATATATATATATATATAGGAGTGATCACATGTGGCCTATACATTAGGTGTGGCCGTGTGGTCAAATAAGGACCATCAGATCATTTCAATCCAACGGACAAGGTAGTAATAATATGGCGCGCCTACTTAACTAGAACGTAGCAGATAGGGGTAGAACTGTCATTTCCTTCTATTCAAACACTGTGTAAGACCTCCTTCTACAAGTCATATCGATTCATAATCCCAAAGCACACGAAGAGAACCGCTCCACTTCTCTCCCCCCTCCCGGCAAACGTATTCTCTTTACTCCACGAACGACGGCGAACAATGGTGAAAAAAGGCAAGGAACCGGCGCGCATGGGTATGAACTTAGTGTATTTTGTATTATAGACTCGGAATAAACCTTTTTGTGTTTTTTTTTTGATGATCAGTGTATACTAAATAGGTATTAGAGTATTTACAGTGCCCTACATGCTTCCACTCGTCCATATCATTTTGTTCTATGCATTGTCATCGGCATCGTATAATATATTTCAATAAATACTGGTGTAATGGTGTATTTTACCTTGTGTTTGTGTTGTTGACTGTATTGTATATTTCATTAACTACTGGTGTATTCTGAACTATGTCACTTGAATAGAGTAAGAAACATTGTTGTGTGTTTAATTTGATTTTGGTGTATTTTACCTTGTGTTTGTGTTGTTGACTGTAGTGTATATTTCAATACCTACTGGTGTATTCTGACTTACGTCACTTGAATAGGGTAAACAACATTGTTGTGTGTTTTATTTTGATATTGGTGTATTTTACATTGTGTTTGTGTTGTTGAATGTAGTGTATATTTCAATAACAACTGGTGTATTCTGAACTACGTCACTTGAATAGGGTGAACAATATTGTTGTGTGTTTTATTTTGATATTGGTGTATTTTAAATTGTGTTTGCGTTATTCACTGTAGTGTATATTTCAATAAGTAATGGTGTATTCTGAACTACGTCACTTGAATAGAGTTAACAACATTGTTATGTGTTTTATTTTGATATTGGTGTATTTTTCAACATTGAACTTATGTCATGCAGACACCAAGAGGAAGGCATTAGAACTAGAAGACCCCCCAGCAGCAAAACATATAAGGAAGCAGCAAGCCCTTGAATTCATTGATAGAATCCAGAATGAGCTGCAAAGTGAGGATACTGAGCAACAAAATCAAGATGAGTCCAGCTCAAATGATGAGGCAGACGTACTGGATGATGAAGACAAAGAAACTGGCCTAAAGATACGACCCCTTCCCACACAATTAATGAACCCAATTGCAGATCTAACTGATCAGCAACGCAAAAGTGTAGAGGAAATTGGACTAGGGAGACTTCTTGACCTGAATATTACCAATGTGCCAAGGAAGTTGGAGCTCTGGCTTGTTCAAAACTATGATGCTAGGAGCAACACATTAAACCTGCCCACTGGTGAACGACTCCCCATCATAGAACATGATGTTGCTGCCACAATGGGGCTACCGATGGGAGGCATAGAAATTGTGAAGAGGGCATCCAAGGAGGTATCTAAACTCTTGACTGGCTGGAGAGCAATGCTTCGAAAGAATAACGGCCACATCACCCCCCACGTTATGTCTGAGCATATGTTAACACTAAAAGCTACTGACCCTTGGTTCAAAAGGCACTTTGCACTGCTTGTTATGAGTGTATTGGTTGAGCCCCAAGTCAATGGTTATGTCAACCAAAGCTACATTGAAAACTTCCAAAATGTTAACAACATCAAGAATCTAAATTGGTGTAGAATGCTCATCAATTCGCTCATCACCAGCAAGCAGGCATGGCTGGACAGTGTTGATGGAAGATACGGAGGACCAATTATTTTCCTGATGGTAAATATACTACCAGCAAGATGCATCTAATTTATTACCCACTGATCGATTAATAATCTAAAATGTAAAATGTAGATATTCTATGTTGACCGTGTGGTGCTCTACCGGAGGACAGTCCCAAGAAGCTTCCCTGCCATGAAGAGCTGGACATTTAAGCTACTCCGTCAACGAGAACAAGCTGAGATAAAATCTGGCGGCTTTGGATATGGTCGTCTTGATGATGCCTTGCCATTGGACGGCAGACCATTCAAAGAAGGAAGTCCCCCATTAATACAATTTGATGTTCCACCCCAACCACTGCCTACTGAAACTAATGCACCACTTCCCACTGTGTTACAGGTAAAATAGACCACTTGAATCATATTCATGGTGTACTCCTTATATCTCTTTTACTGTTTTTAAACCTATAGACTGTTGAGCATCTTACAATGGGGTACCTTAATCAGTTTGTGTGAATAATATAATGTACTCTAGTGGTGTGCTTTTTAAGAGTATTTAGTGCATATTTTGATATACATTGGTGTGTTTATATTATATCCTTGTGGTGCATACGCAGGAGTTTGTTGATGAGATTACTAGCAACACAAGGACAATTGCAACAAGTTTACTGAGAATACCCAGACTGATTGAAAATGCACCTGCTGCCGTTTTGGAACATCATACATTCAAGCAAGTTTTTGAGTCTGCTAGACAGATGCTAGGATTCAAAGCACAGGAAGATGGACAACTGACATTTACCCAAAGAGAAGACGCCTACTGGAGTGACCCTGAGTTTCTGAAAGCAGTTGATGAGATTGTACGTGCGGTAAACAAAAGGAATTTCCTAAATGATATACCCTCTTTCAGCCTGGGATTGTCACAGGATGAACCAAACAAAGGCTAGGCAGATGTGAGTGATATTGCACGTGACTACCAGGATGTTAACGAAGCTGATGAGCCTGCTGAAGTTCAGTTGGGTGTGGATGAGGATCAAGCAGCAGACAGACCTCAAGAATACACTGAGACAGCTCAACAAGAACCCCTATCTGACCAACATAAACAGGCTTTGCATGAGACTCGCGCGGATGACACCAATACTGAGGTAATGAACTATAATAAATCCAACATTAACACACTATAAAAACTGATGCTCTCACCTTTAAATATTACAGATCACACCAGAATGCCAAGGGCAGCCAGCCCCTGCATCAAGTCCACACCCCCCCCCCCCCCCCACCCCAACCAGCAGACAATGGAAAAGGCCCAGCTAGAGTGCATAGCCCAATTGCACGAAGACCCATCACATACGTGCTTGACATTGACACACCATTAAACTGCAATAGAGGAAGCTATCAGGCAGTGGGTATTGGAAAACCCTAATCCAGATCTATAAGCACAACACATTCTAGAAACAATGGTGTGCTGTTTATATATATTTGGTGCATTATATAATGATGTTGGTGCATAAATATCCTATGCACATTGATGTGTTATTCTATGTGATATTAGTGTATACTATGTTAACTGTTGGTGTGTTTATACTAAATGATAAGTGACTGATTGTGTTTTATACCTAACATATTTCTTTTGTTTCAATAGGACCCAAGAACTATTCAAGTATGAAGGAAGGGTAATCCACTGGAAAGATATGCTGTCAATGAGGCCAGATTCACAGATCCCAGTCTCTATAATTGATGTTTAGGTAGCCATAATCAACATCCGTGAGTCAGAAAGGGGATGTACAAAGTTCATTGCTTCATTGTGGACAACTGTGAGTTGAACATATAAACCTAGCTTCAACTTTAACAAGCTTACAGTTCTAACAAAAATACCCTTACAATTTGCAGTTGTTCACAGTTGTGGACCCACAAGAAGATGAGGACGTTAGATTTGCAAGATTCAAATCAAAGTACCTTGCAGACAAATTCATCGCATGCGACGTTAGGTGGAACGGCATTCTATACGTAAGATATTAATATACATTTGGTGCATGCTATTGTTTATCTATTTGTGGTGCATTACTAACCATCCTTGGATTCATACTAACCCCCGTAAAAAACATATCTTTTTTCTATAACAGTTTTTGTTTCCAATTATATCATGCAACCACTATTACCTGCTTTCCATTAGCCCAATAATGGAAAGATTTGACATTATTGACAACTCTTCTGTCACTGTGAAGAAAGAAAACAAGTATGGGACTGTGCTTGCAAATATGGTAACACACTAAGCCCTGACTGATTACATATGTTTAATGCACAACTACAATAAAAAATGCTCAGATTTGTATTACTTGATGCAGCAAAAATTCTTGTCAAGGTTCTTGTCTGACATGAAATCCTCATACAAGGCTGAGAAAGTGAACAAGGTGAAATCTAAGATAATGAAAATGCCTTGGAGATATGCACACAACAAGGTGGATTGTGGCATCTTTCTCATGCGCCATTTAGAGATTTTCCGAGGGCAGACATATGATCAGTGGCAGTGTGGACTTCAGAAGGACAACAAGGATCAGTTGAAAAAGCTACGAGTGCGATACATGGCTGCCCTAATCATGTCAGACTTAAATGAACACAAACAGAGGAACATTCAGCAGGCAGCAGAGTTCCGGGTTTGAGCAAGACGTTAATCTGGAAGAAAGACAATGTGAATATCTCTGACTTGACAGGTTTTTTTTGTGGTTTGTGATGACCAGTAGTAATTTTTTGTGATGCCAGACATCTAATGTGACATCTACATGTGTTCTTTTTGCGCTATAACAATGCACCATATGATATAGTAAAACGCAACATGATCTATTCTAAAATGCACAAATATTTCTGTATTATAAAATGTCTACTTACCTGTAAAATACACCAATCACACAAGTAAAACACACACCACTGTTATTTATTATAATCAAAGTGACATGATTCAGAATACACTATTCTGAATGTAATATACACTACATTTAACCCCATGAATGCATGGTTGAATATACATAAATATGCACCACGATATGCGTGAAAACGCACCACTATCTATTATAAAATGCACAATACCAAACATATTTCAAAAAACCTGATTCTCTGGTATGAAATACCTGCATACCTTTAAAATACACCGATCACACAACTAAACACATATCAATGTTATTTATTATAATCATGTTACATGATTCAGAATACACCATTCTGAAATAAATATACACTACATTCAACACCAGGAATACAGCGTAGAATATACACTAAAAATGCACCACGATATATCTGAAAACGCACCATTATCTATTATAAAATGCACATGTCCAAATACATGCACCGTGATCTATTGTAAAACGCACAAATTCAACAATGTCTACAAAATCCGGATTCTATGTGTTATAAAATGTCTACACAACTGTAAAAACATCAAATTCCACAATACAGACCAACTAAGAAAACAACACACAACTCTAGCCATTTAATGGGCACGTCCTACTATTATGACCATATTCATCACAAGTATGGCATTTCCTTGATTGCTTTACACACTTATTCACAGCTTTCTCCCTTGCACTCTTCATCCGCTTCCCGCCGCCCTTGTTCTTAACTTTAATTGGATCACGAACCTCCATTGTTGACCCCTGAGACACATCACCACAAAATGATTTAATCACACTTTCTTTGCTGCTACCAGCTACCCCATTGTCATCCTCACACCCATCTTTGATAAAAAAAACTCCCTTTGTTCACAAATAACACGTCTTAGTTGTTCCAACCGTTCTACATTACCATCAGCCAATCCCACGCAAGCATAAATTTCAGACCTTAGTAATCACCCTAACATTAACTTTAGCCGATTGATCAACAACCGTATCATCAATATCAAATATTGGCTTCAAACAAGCAGCCTTTGTCCACCGAGACACCAAATACATAGAAGGAATTCTCTCAAGTCCACGATCTTTAAACACAAAAAAATATGCCTACACACCAACCCCATCCGCTCAAACATCTTGCATGAACATATAACAGTACAGTCAGCCAACAAAAACTCCACACACCATGCCTTCTTGTCACCATCTTTTATCCCATAGCACACCTTACCATCGCACTCACACAAAGACACCACTCGACAAGAAAAACAACCTTCACAAATCTCTACTTGCACATCATAAAATACAGAAATGGTATAGACATCCATTGCATGTTTCTCCAGCGCCAATGGAGTCTTCAAAACAGGAAAGCATGATTCAGAGTCAGCAGTCAATTTTGCTTGGGCATGTCGTTGTGCACTAATAGCACTATCAAAATGCACCAAAAACTCAACCAAACTGGAATGACCATTGGAGAAACTGCCAAAAAAACTATTTTGAGACTCTGATCGAGATGTTGTCCTAACAAATCTCGACATAAACTCATCATGAAAGTATGGAGATGCCCAAAATGTACGAGACTCGAACAAGTAACGAAACCAACTATTATCAACCAAACCATATTCCTCTATGATACGACTCCATGAATCCTCAAAAGCTTTGGAATCTATAGATTTGTTCCAAACAATGCCATTCAACTTCCTCATAAACACCTCGTCCTTAGCTAAGACCGGTCCAACCTTCTCACCGACCTTGCACATTATATGCCACATGCAGAATCTATGTTTTGATGTACCAAACACACGAGCAACTGCAATCTTAACAGCTGGATCTTGGTCAGTAACGACACAAATAGGTTCATGACGCATGGTTTTCTTAAATCTCTCCAAAAGCCAAACATATGAGTCTACGTCTTCCCTCGTAAGTAAACCAACACCAAATGTGATGGATCTCTTATGGTTATCAATTCCAGTAAATGGGACAAACACCAAATTATACCTACAGAATGCACAACCCAACAACTACTGAATACATTAAATATAACAAAACACACTATATGAAATAAAAATATGCACCATACTATTATACAGAATACACAATAACTATAAATTACTAACCTGTTAGATCGGTATGTAGCATCGAATAAAACAACATCACCAAACAATGCAAAATTCTTCCTTGATACTGCATCTGCCCAAAAAACCCTTGTAAGCTGATCAACGTCATCAACATCATATTCAAACTCAAAAGCCTCGCACAATTCACGCCTTTTAAAAAGCGTATCTATGAATAGTTGAGCATCACCATTCAATATGTATGCCATCAAATCATGCTTGAAATTCTTAAAATCCACCCCAGTAGCACCAACATTGGAATACTCACCAACAATCTCCTTAAACAGCTTATAGGACCGAACATACCCAATATTTGCCCGAACACAACTTGCAATGAACATTTGATGGCCAGCATCAAGACTACGATTCACCTTTAAAAACTGCTTAGCAATGATTGAACACATCACATGAGTGTGTCGTTCCTCTAAAAAATGCACAACAAACAGTCCATTAGACTTATGCTTAAACACCACTTTAGCGTTGCACCCAACCTTATTTGTCACCCTCCGTCTCTTCACAACAATGGGCTTACCATCACCAACACACGTAGATTGCGTACTATAAATACTCTTTTTAAACCCCTCTCGACTACAGAATACCTGTCTCTCCACAACAACACCATCCCTCCTCCTCCGAATTGTACCCTGTCTACAATCAAAACCAACATACCCAGCATACCGTTTATAAAAAACAATAGCACAATCCAAGGAATCAAACGTTTGCCCCAAAACAGGCTTCAAACTATCACTGCAAACTGGACGCCAATACTTAGTCAACCCAGGAGACATTTCCAAAACAAATGCATTGTCTTCTGCCTCAACGTCAGTCAAACAGTGTTCATTGGCGCCCTGACCACTAGTCTCTACAGCAACATCGGTTGAATTCCCTTCATCAC